TCCAAGTTGATAATGTACCGCCTCCCTAAGATCCATGGGACCTTCCAGAGTTGTTCCAGATCAAGGACTGGAGTCTTTAGCCAGGCCGCCACCACCCTGTTTCCTCTCCATGGGCCTATCTGCAGACACAGCTGGCTCAAGGTAGGACTATTCCCAGTGAGCTAGAGCTGAGCCTCAAATCCATTGGGACCTACTTCTAGGAAACAAGTTGCTAGAGTGGAACGGAGCTGCTACTCCATAGGAACCCACTGCCACGGCTAAGGTCCACTCCTTAACTCACACATAAGAACAAGAAAAATGTAGGGATGCTCTGTGGCTTGCCCAAGTTCACGAAGGTTACCAAGTGGTAGTGTGGGGACCATGATGAGGCCCCCTTGCTCATAATCCGGTGATTCTACTAGAGCTTGTTTGTAATATACTAAATACCTGCTCATGAGCCATTCGTGGCAGGAAGTACAGCCAAAGCGAGATACTACATACATTTGAGTAGTAAAAATGCCTAGCAGGGCTGTGGACAGTGGGCGGAAGACCGGAAAGGCAGCCCCTAATGTCAACCTGGAACCTGGAAACCTGGCGTTCCCCAAAGCAAGTCATCCCATGGTCACGGTCAGCCTCATCTGTGCCTGGCCGATGGCAGGTGCACATCTGTGTACTCCTAGGGCGGCGTGCAGCCGACAGCAAAGGAGCCAGTGTCCTTTTCCCTCTCTGCTCTTGGGCCTGTGACAGCATGATCCTGCTCTGTGCACTGAGAATGCCTTGGAGGTCTTCCTTCCATTTCATTAGCTCATCCAGTGGGTTGTCAGAAGTGAATGGAAACAAAAATCTGTTATGCGTGTTAGGGAATTTATTTTAATTCCGCCACTGCATCCAGAGGAAACAGATTTAATAATAATTAGTGGCTCGATCCTGGGATGAAAGAGAGAGAGAGAGAAGGAAGGTGGAGGGAGAGTCGGGAAGGCCGGCAATGGGAGGGTGAGGGGGGTGGTTAGCAACTGGGCATGGCATCGGTGCTTGAGTAGCTCTGCCGCAAGGGCTGGGATGTGCAGTCTGACCCCAGAACAGGCTGTAAATGGTTGAGGGGGCAGGCCCTGGGCCTCCCTGGGTAGCTCCTCAGCCTAATCCAGTGGCCAACACACAGGGGTGGATGAGAAAGCTGTGCTTGGAGGTGGGGCAATGGTGGTGTGTCAGCTGGCACAGAACAGGAGAGGCAGAGGCTGCTCTCTGAGTGGAACTGCATGGGGATCTTCGAGGCCCACGGCCCTACGAAGCCCAAAATGCCAGAAGTGGAAGCCAAGATGACGGTAGCTTGTAGGAACTTTCAGTAGAAGGCAGGGAGCGGAAAGAACAGCAACAACATATGTAGTGCTGGGATGAGATCTTCAGGGACCAGATGAAGGGTCAGACCAGGGGTGAGGAGTGTCTTTAATTAGTAACCAGTGACTCATGAAAATAACTCATCCAAGGGTGATGTTTAAATACAGTAACCTAATTTTAAGTTTGGTGGGTGAATGGAATGAGTGTGTATATGTGTGTGTGTGTGGGAGGCACAAGGGAGTTTAGAAAAGAAAAAAAAATAAAACTCCTTACTCTTTTCATTAAAAACATAAGATATTATTAATTGATAACATTTTAAAAATGTATTTCAAACACACAGAGACCGTAACAGAGACACACAGCCATGAGGAGGGCACAGTTGGAGACACCTGTCAGCTGGCCACTCCTTCAGGGCCCCGAATAAGCCACGCTCATCTATTTGGACCCGTCCTGGGTCCCCTTTAAACAAAGGGTTTGTCCCTTTTTGGCGCGCAGCTAGGTTTCCATTGTACAAGAACTAAAGTACTCTCTGGTCCCCGAAACTGCTAACATCCTAAAATTGTCTCGAGCAGCTTAAATGGCATTTAAAATAAATACTGTGAATTGATGAAATGACCAATTATGTTAAGTACCCAGGCCTGTGTAATCTAAACCAAATCTTACCCTATTATCCTCAAAACTGCTAGATGATTCAGCACGCCCTCTCGCCAGTGACTCTGCAAGAACCAAATACAGAGGCCACACTCAAGGAGAACCTCAAGTGCTTCCTTCCAGTTAATTCTTGCAATTGGTTTTATGCTGGGGGAAAAAGAAAAAAATCGCTACCATGTTTCCACTCCATAGCTAATAAACACAACAACCACTAGACAACACCCATGGGTTCCCACTGTGTAACCATCGTGTCCTATTGTTCCATGGATTTCAGAGTCTGACTTCCTCCATCCCGTCTCTGGACATCACAGCGTTCTGAGGCATATCTTGCGAGAATGTGGGATGTCGTCGCCACAAAGTGACCTCGAATCATTCCCTGTCCACACCTACCAGGTGGCGTCCCCATTGCCATGCCCTCCCCTGCCTACAGACTCCCTTTACCCATTTGTGCCACGCCTTTGGTTGTTTCCACATGCCCACAAGCTACCTTCCAAGGTCTTGTTCAAGTGCCAGTGCTCCCAGGAACAGACAGGTCCCTCCTCTCCCACCCTCCTGACAAACATCGGCCTCCCTCCTCCAAACAACAGGACACATGTGCTCCTCTGCCAAGCCTCCGTGCATGTGGGCTCAACTGCCAGGGCCACTGCTCAAAGCCGGTTTTCCCCGAGGACCCCCTTGTAGACCAGTTCGGCTGGTTCTGCTTGTGAGGGGGGCCCACAATTGCTGGGCTTTGCCAGCAGGTCTCTGGGCCTCTAGGTCACCTTCTATCCTGGTTCTAGGAACTGGGTTCTTTAGGGCACCTGCTTGCCTTCAGTTCCGATCTCTGTGGTTGGGACCTACCCACAGAGTTCTTTCCTAGCCTAACTACCCGGGAGAGATGCCCTCCTGCTGGCCACAGGGGAAAAGGAGGACCATGTGCGTGCGCATTTTGAAAATGTAAAGTATAAAAAGATGACAAAGTGAGTATAAATCAGGCATGTTTTCTTCTACTCGAGTCTGACCTAAACTGTCTACTGGTATGACTGGGCGGCTCCCTTCTTTATATATCCATATTTTTATTATAAAACTTTTGCTCATGGGCATTAGCAATTTCTTGATGGAACCAGTACCACCACCGAAGGAACACGCAAATATTAATTAGGGATAACAGGCACATTGGTTTGAAAAATCTTAGTACCATAAAAGTATCTTGAGAACTCTAACTGCAGATATAGCACATATACAGCAAGGAAATACTGCAGGGAAAAAAATGAACAAAGCCTTGCCCACGCTCTCACACTCTGACCAAGAGTCTTCAGATTTTCACATGTACAAAAAAATTAATTTAATTAAAATAAAAAAAATAGGAGGGCTGCACTGAAGTGAATGTGGATTGAATAAGCATCTGAAATCTGTAATAATGTGATTTGCAACGCCCAGAATAATTAGAATTTTAAACCCTATCAGGAAGGGGAAAAAAGGTCCACACCCATGAGATAGAATCTCAGAGTGAAATCACTCAATTTCAGAACCTTATTGATGTTTTCTTCATGCTTCTGCCCGGAGAAACAACCAGAAACTAATATCGTAAGAGCAAACCTTACTTAATGTGAAACTTAATGAATAAAAATCCTGTAAGAAAATGTACTCCCTAAATAAAATCTCTCTTCTGAAAATAATCCAAACATGAATGATATCATTGTTACAGATCTTGAGGAAAAATAAATATGCACATAACTTTGAAATTCACTTGAAAAAACTCCCAAAGGCTCATCATAATTGGTCTCCATTTACGCTATCTGAAGGGAGAACAAATTTTTTTTTAATTATGTATTAATCTTTGAGAGTAGAGGGAGTTTCCTTTCTCCCTTAAATATTTAGGATATCTATAATGGTCATTAAAATGAGAATTGGTCAGACCTGCCTGCCTAAATTGCACCTGGACCAAGCAAAAAGGCAAGGAAATCCTTCGGTTCCCGATTTCACGGGCTATTAAAAAGACAGTATGTAATCGCATGGCCTATAAAACAACAACAAAAATGTGACTCCACCTCTTTGAGCTGCTCAGGAAACCTGAAGATAAATGTCCCTTTGCTCAGCCACATTTATATTCATTCTTTCACATACCTGGCCGGCCCTCGGCATGCGCTTCTCAGGAAAAGAGGCTTACCAGCTCTAAGCCAACCTAAATGCACGGACCACTCCACACTATATGCCCAGTCCAGTTCTAAAGCTCTTGGTGCACCCAGACCCACCTGCTGCAGGCCAGTTGTGCCACTCTGACACCTAGCCGACCGACGGATGGGGACAGGGAGCTGAAGCCTACCAATTCCAGCTTATCTGCACAGCAGATCTTCTAATCCAGAAGTTATCTAGAAGGCACCTCATGACTACTTTTAACCATTTACTCCTCTTTCACATTATTCAGTCTTTTCAAAAGAAACTTAATAGCCAAAATAGAGATGAAAGGCAGTTGGAAATCCTTGAGCATGTTGGATAGGACAGCAAAGCAGCAAAGGGTGGGCTGGACAATAGGAAGGCTGTCCCTCCTGCAAAGGCCACTCATGGGGAACAGGAGAGGGGTGACTGAAGTCCCAGTCTGGGGAACAAACCACAGCCAATCCTCCAGGCACATGCAGATGGCTAGGGGACAGCAAGGAATAAATGGACCACCACAATAACCAAAGTGCCAGAGCACCCCAAACAGATCACAGTGTTTGTTTTCACCAGCTTTCCAGCTCGGCTGATGCTACTGTCATATCCTAACTGCTACATCATTCTAGTTCCACCAAAGCCAGCCGAACACATCTGAGATACGATCAGTGGTGGCAAATCAAAGAACCAGTCCCAGTTTCGGATTCACGGTTCATGGCAACCAGGAGGCGTGAGTAAGAAGAAATAAAGAGAACTGGACAAACGGCCCCAACCCACAACAGCCACACTTCTCCAGATTAGTGCCCACTGCTAAAGAGGACAGAGCTGTCCTGCGTGCTACCCAGCACAAGGGCACAGGGCCAGGGGGTGGGGTGGGGGGTGGGGGGCTCCTAGAGACCTACCTTGCAGAAGGGCTCCATTTCTCTTGAAGAAGGTACTGCCCGGCCAGATGGGTGGACCTGATGTGCTGAAACAGAAGAGACATCAGTGTCAGCACAGCTCGTCTACACTCACTCCCTGCACTTAGCACAGCCAGCTCTCCAAACATGCCACTCAGAAGGCCTCCACACACCTTCCCAATCATACGTTATCTATGCCCTCTGAAAACACGTCTTTAAAAACCACGAGGCTCGTTTTAAGGGGAATGGGCTTCATGTTTTATAGCACAGACCCTACCTGTGTGGATATCCTGCTTCCTGTCCTGACCCTTTACCTTCTTGGGCACTGAAGTCATTTGCAGGTAAACGAAATGGCCAAGTCACATAGTTCACTATCACAACCTAGAACTCACGAGTGGCTGTTAACTTATTCCCAGTTTTATGAATTTACTACGTGGCACACCTGCCTGTGATAAACACAAACTTGCCTTTTCTGGGCCTTTTTCCCTCAGCATATGCAGAAAAGGCTTTGATTGATTCCTTCCCTCCCCCATCCTCTTGTTTTGTATCCTGTTTTTAAGGTTTTTGCTTAAAACGTTGCACTCCATATTCTATAAAAAACATTTAGTAGATGTGCTACTGCCCATTGTCTGGTAGTAGGAGAGGCACGGAAGTATGATCAGTACACACAAAGACACTTTACTACACATACAGAGGAGCATTTTCACTGTTTCAAGACGCCCGGTGAGAAACTTTATAACCAAGCCAGTCTCAGAAAAATGTCCTTGGAGTGGGAAGTGGGTTCTAGTAAATCAAGGATTGGTTTAGGTTAATGTTAGAAAGCACTTAGTCAAAAATGTTACTATATCCAACCCAAGAGGCAGTAGAGATTACCTTTACGAAGACAGCCCATGGCAAGTGATACTAGCTAAGGTGCTGTCAATCACAATAGAAAAATTTATAGTTGGTCTGATAACAGAGTTGTAAATTTGGTGGGCAGGCGCACACAGAACAGGCTATCTGAAGGGCTCTGTAATGAACCCTTTGCCAGTCAACCAGGGCCTCTGCTAGGACAGGACAGCAATTGATAGCGTTAACAAGGAGACACACCAGTGACAGGTTCTGCTGACCAAAGTTCCGTTACTTTGGTAACGGTACAGATGGCACAATAGGTATGGGGACGTGGTACATGATTGGTGAGGTGCAGACGGGGAGAGAGAAAGAGTGATCGCACGTAAAAATACTGTTAAATGTCAAAATAATGCCAAATGTGCTAGAAAACACACTATGAGCCCTGACATAAGTGAACCTTTTTGTTTTATTTTGCTTGGGGTTGCCTATACTCAAAGTAAGCAAGAAGAATGCATCGAGGCTATAGCTTTTCCTGCAGTCCTCTCAGCTCTGTAGTTGTGGCCTCCGAGTGGCCAGGTTGCACAGGGCACCAGATCTGGCTGGGGTTTCAGGGCCACGGGATGTCGGCAAGTGGATTTTCTCTTCCATCTGATTCCTGTCCTATTCCATGGAGGCTTTTAAGGCTCAAAGATGCATGAAAAATAATGTGCATTAAAATGCTCCAGATGATCTTTTAACAACTTCCTGCCAACTCCCTGGGATTTTACCATCTTATTTTTATAAGAAAGCAGGAAACAGCAAGCTGGCTGTTGCCAATCCTGCATCACCTGATTTCTAAAGATATTTAAAAACTGAGGACTTCATTATAGAGGAGTTGGTGCTTTGAGAGAATTCAATAATTGAGTCTTACTGCAGGAGCCTGAATATCCAGCTTACTTCCATCCAAATCTCCTCTTTATCCCGACCTTGATTTGGCTGAACGCTGAGCAGACGCCAGGCATGGAGTAAATGTGGGGAACTGAGGTCAGGTAAATCCAGTGGTTTAAGATAAGGAAAATTCTCTGCATGATAGAAATCTACTCGGCAATTTCTACAACATCCTTTTAATGTACGTAAGTCACTGATCACTATTCTGGTCCTTCTGTCGCAGTGCCCACATAATGGATACTTCCAGTCGTGGAGAGAGGTTTGGGCTGGCCCACCTACCTGCTCTTACCCGGCCCCACTGTCAGTGATGAATTCACCTATGGTCTCTTATGAGCTCAAGTTAAGCTGTTCCCTATCAGGCTAATTGCAAAGCTTTGGAGCTCATTGGCCAGACAGTTTGCAGGCTTCTCTTGGATGGTCCCTCGAAATGGCTATTTCTAACTGTTAGGGGACTCAAGGATTCATTAAGTACCTATTGAGAACCATCCTTGGGGTTGAGAGGGACACAGGAGAAATACTAAAAGCCATATTTTATGGCCTCTAGGAATTCACCTAGCACCAACCTCCTGTGACTGTGTTTAAAGAGACATAAATGAATACAGAAAGGCCAGTGGATACAGCTCAAGTGGTTGCAAGTTGGGGAGGCAGCAACATGATTTCCGCCCCCTCCATCTGGTCATATTCCCAGTTTGTTGGCCTTTAAGGTTCAAAGTTGGTTTTTAAAAACTATATGAAATTACCAAAATAGTGTTTATTAACCATAGGAATTTAGAGAAGAAGCTAATCGAAGTCTTCATAGGAGTTGCTGAAGCCACCTTGGAAACCATTCATTCATGTGGCAAATGAAGAGGAGGGCAGTGTGGGTGTAGGCGGCTCTCTACACTCCATCACTTAAGTGTTGGTTGACTTGTAGGTGGTCACCGCCATGAGAACTAACCAACAGGGCCCCCTTAAACCCAGCAGAGTGGGTTTTAATCACCTCACCCACGTGCTCACACACAGGGTAGGATGCTGAGATAGCAAATTACCATTTACAAAGTACAACAATCAACATTTTTCCAATGGGATCCTCCATGCAGTGAGTGGGCAGGGCAGAAGGAGGATCTGAAGAGATGGAGGCCCCAAGAGGTGAAGGGACTTGTCCAAGCATCACAAGCCTGGTAAATGATCAGTCCAAGACCAGGCAGGGGCTTCCAGCGCCAGCCCACAGTGTCAAAATGTACACATCAGTGGGCCCAACCTCAACTCATCTTCCAGTCTGTTGGCACTGAACTCTTGTCTATCCTTCTCCGTGGAAGGAAGCTGCAGGTGGTATTTCACAAAGAATCTCAAGGTAAATGGCTAAAATCATTAACACAGGAAACAACAGATGTTGGCAAGGATGCAAGAAAAGGGCAACCTCTTACACTGTTGGTGTGAATGCAAACTGGTACAGCCATTCTGGAGAACAGCATGGAGGTTCCTCAAAAAGTTAAAAACAAAACTATGATCCAGCAATTGCACTACTAGGTATTTATCCAAAGGATACAAAAATATGGATTAGAAGGGGTACATGCACCCTGATGTTTATAGCAGCATCATCAACAATAGCCCAGTTATGGAAAGAGCTCAAATGTCCATCAACTGATGAATGGATAAAGAAGATGTGGGGTGTATACACACACACACACACACACACACACACACACTGGAATATATCTCAGCTATAAAAAAGAATGAAATCTTGCCATTTGCAATGATGCAGACGGGGCTAGAGTGTATTATGTTAAGAGAAATAAATCAGTCAGAAAAAGATAAAGATCATAGGAGTTCACTCATATGTGGAATTTAAGAAATAAAACAGATGAGTATGGGTGGGAAGGGGGGGCAAACTGTAAAACAGACTCTTAACTAGAGAGAACATACTGAGGGTCGCTGGAGGAGAGGTGGGTGGGGGGATGGGGTCACTGGGTGACAGGCATCAAGGAGGGCACCTGGGATAAGCACTGGGTGTTCTATGCAACTGATGAATCACTAAATTCTACACCTGAAACTAATATTATACTCCATAACAACTAACTAGAATTTAAATAAAAACGTGAAGCAAGCAAACAAGAAGAATCTCAAGGCAAAATCCCAGGCTAGAAAAAGCAATCAGGCTTATCACATGTGAAAGACAGACACATGGGCTCATAATTAGCAGAAACAGCACAATTCAGGCACCACAAATGTTTCATCTCAACGCTTTAACAAAATTCCGTGACCTTCAGCACTAGATGGCAGACCCACTCGGGACAAAGGAAGCTGACCAACAGGGTAAGAGGGCTCTGTCTGCCAGAAAACCAGTTTGCAAACTGGCATTTGAGCCCACAGCTCTGGGCTGATCATTGGAACTAGAGCTAAGCCAGCAAAAATCTCAAGAGAGGAATGATACCATCTCGAACAGCATACCCAGCGTTTGCAGATCTCAGCCCCCAGTCACTTCCTGGGCTGGACCCTCGAAGCTGCATTACTTGGAACTCCCAAGGGGACACCCATTGAGCCAACAGGTCATACAGCCCGAAGGTGGCTCTTGGCATAAAGATGCATCCTGTCATGGTTTTTCCCCTTCACTCATGAGCTTTCATCATTGTGAGAACCAGACAGACTGTGACCAAGATCCTGGGAGCTTCTGCCAAGATCCATACACAGGCCTGGACCTTCTGTGAGTCTAATGAAAAGCAGAATAAGAAATGTACTTTTTTTTCTAAGTACTTAAAAAAAAAGAGGGTACTTTTCTCTAAGAACTCAGCTCTGGAATGTGAACCGGGGTATCTAAAAGAGAGTACAGGATGCTACAACATGAGTGCACCTTGAGGACATTATACTAAGTGAAATAAGCCAGAGACAAAGGGACAAATACTGTGCTAGACTCTAGTGGTCAAAATTCACGAAAACAGAAAGGAGAATGGAGGTTGCCAGGGGCGGAGGGGAGGGTTAAGAGTTGTTTAATGGGTACCCAGGTTTTCTTAGAGTTCCAGAGACTGGTTACCCATCAATGCAAGTGTACATACCCCCCCAAAAAAAATACTTAAGATGGTTAATATTTAATGCTAAATATATTTTTACCACAATTACGTTTTTTAAAATGTAAAACGAGAGACAGAGAGAGGGGAAGAGAGCGCATGAGTGAAGGAACATGTGCAAGAAAGACTCTAAGAAATAAATCAAAGTCTAAAGAGTTTTGGTCAGTGAAGGACCAACCTATGTGCTGTGTCTCTGAAGGGACAATTAGCATCTCTTCTAGAATGGTCCACAACACACTTAAGAAAGCAGAAAGCTGAACTAAGGA